AACGGTAATCGAATCGGTGTTAGTTCATGTATGTTTTTGAATTTCGTCTAGTGAAAAGAAGTAAGCCTATTCTGTTGTGTTGTAGCATAACGGTGATTAACTCGTGAATCACCTATAATCTCAATAAGATATAAAAAAGAGTTTTACTATTTGAAATCGAATAGTGTTAAAGTGAATGTTTTCAAATTTCGTCCAGTGAAAAAAACCTGGAAATAAAAGTATTCTGCTGCAGCATATAACGGTATTTGACTCATGAATGAATTCTTTGTAAACGTAGTATATATAAGAAAGATTTTATTATCTGAATTCGAATACTTTTAGTGTATGTTTTTGTGTCCAGTGACGTGAAATTAAAGTAGAGGATTCTCATATCTCAACTGAAGATACTTCTAAGAGTTGATCTTGACTGAGCCGTGTTTTCAAGCCGATTACAGTGATTAATGATCTTGTAAGCTTGGCTAAAATGAAGAAACCCGAGGACTTCGACGAAATAATCCAAGTCTTAATTATAAATAAACCTTGAAGGAAGCATTGTAAATATTTCGTTGATGTAAACAGTGGGTTTGTTGTAATTGCAACACCGGAGTGACGGAATATTATTAACATAAAAATACAATATTATATAAAGTATAACATCATTACTCGCGCTAAAAAAAATAATGATTCGAGAATTGATGAACCAACAATATCGTCGAATTTATATCGAACTACTAGCAAACGGGAAAAATAGAAGATATTCTGCAATCGAAAAATGGAAATTTCTTGTAAATGATCTTCTGAAAATATTGAAATTTTCAAAAAATATATTCGATTTAAATTTGAATTTTTAAAACCATGTATGAGAGATCATAGAATTTATGTATAATTTAGTTATATGGCCGTTTTAATGCTGTGGAAACGAAGAGCATGACGATATGACTGTCAAGTGGTCTAAGATGAATTATTTTTATTATATTTTCTTCTAAAATTTTATGAGAACTGAGCTGAGCAGAATTTCTCCCAAAGACCGCAAAAATCTAATCATAATAAATTCATTTATCAGCGAAAAGGAACTGAAAAGAAAGAAAACGAAGCCGATAATGAACTGACAGACTCTTTTCTATTTGCCTTTTTGCAATTAATTTTATTTGAGACGTATGGCGCCTTCCTCGGTGTTCTTCTGCTCTGATGTTTCGCCAATTTATTAACTTAACCAAAACGAGTGCGAGTGAGGAAAACCACCCTCTACTTGATCGAGTTTTGGCGCAAATTTTCGTCATACCACAAATTGATTTACTACTCTCGACCTAATATGGAGATATTGGCAAGTGTCTTATTGCTACGTGGTGCTTGATCATTCGGCTTATTTGCAGTCGGATCACGTTCTTGCAACATCACTACGGTAATGCTATCTCGTCTTGTTCAGCTTTCATTGATTGTTGATTCGGCTTGAAAGAAAGGCCAAGTTTACTCACTGAGTCCTCACTCACACTAGTCACGTGACCTAGTAAAACCAGTTCATCCGGTTACAGTAACAAGATTAAAACAAACAAAAACCTGTATTTTTAGGGGCTTTTCTTAATTTTTTTTTTATTGCGTAGAAGAAATTTTCGCTCAAATTTCTGGAGAAGTAAAAGTAAATGTAACCTTGAGGAATCGTTCATTCGTTTACACGGCGCGCGAAGGGAACTCCGCCGCCGACTTGATAATTTTTTGATATGCCTCAATTGTCTGCCATAATGAATTGGCCGATTTGAATAAACCTCTGTATCCGCCCAGGAGAGCCATTTGGTGACCTCAAATATCAGTTATTTCTTTACCTATTTTCAAGCTTTTGTGTGGTTTCGATCGGTTCAGTTTTTTGCGGTTTTCTAAATTCAATCATTTCAAATAATCAATCTGCCAGATGGCGTTAGAAAAGTAGAGAAAGTAAACCACTAGAATTATTAATTCAATGATATTTTTTCTCTTTTGCTTCTCATTACCTGCAGCAGCTGAGCCATGGACACTTGGATTTGCACAAGAGCCAGCGGATACTCAGTTTGCGCACACTCGGAACGCAGTTCTGAACTGTGTTGTAGCTGGCAACCCAAAGCCGAGCGTGACCTGGAGACTAGCACGAACAAAGAATGTCGTTACAAATATAACGGGACTTCGTTACGTCATGGCGAACGGCTCGCTGGTTTTCCCGCCTTTTTTACCAGATAAACTTGACACATCTATCCACCACGCCGAATACCAGTGCCTTGCCAGCAACAAATTAGGTTCCCTGATAAGCCGTGCTGCCAAGTTACGAGCAGGTAAAGCCGCTTCAATTACCGCCAGCTAAAGTTCGTCCTAAAATTGGTGGGCTATATGAACAATGGTGGCCATGCCTTTTGTTATTCCATTCTGTTTTAAACTATTGCAAGCCGCCTAAAAATATTTTTTCTTAATCTTTTGATTGGTGGATTAATTATTGTGGGAAGGTGGATGGTTGATGTCCCATCTTTCTTACTCTTTGTAATTTCTAAAATTTCAGGATGTCCGCTTTGTCTTAAATTGAAAATAACTTTTGAAACTTTTTCCATAGTTGTTGTAGAACCTTTTCGTGTGTATGCAGTGGACCACAAAGTCATTCTTGGTAACACTGCTGTGATAAAAGCAGTCGTTTCTAGTCACGTGAGACAGTACGTCGAGGTGAAGGCCTGGCACAAAGGGCGTAACGTCATCAATATTGGTGGACGTTACTCGGTCATGCCGTCAGGAGACCTTGTGATTACAAATGTTCGACGTGATGATGCAAACGACGTGTACCACTGGACAGCAGTTAACACATTGACGCAAGAAATGCAAGCAAGTAACCCAGCCAAACTGGTCATACTCGGTAAGGAATTGATTTTAATCAAAACCCAATAATTTGTACATTTAGCAGAACATGGGTACTAGTCATAACCATTAGGGGAGAAGAAGGCAAAGATAGCGGGAGGAAAATGAAGGCGTTTTTGAGCTAGTAAAACGCGGGGTAATCAAAAATTTGCTGTCATAAATGACGATGTTGTGAGGAGTGGCCTTGGGGACGACGGCTCACATATTCCCCCCCCCCCTACCCCACCCATCCTGATAGTATTTCGACACTAATTTTGTAAATATCTGCATATTCTCCAGATAAAACAGACACGAAACCACGAATGACTTCAGACAGCCTGAACCTCACGATCACTGCAGGACAAACCGCTGTTTTACAGTGTTCTTCAGAAGGTTTTCCGAACCCCCACTACTCATGGAAGAAGAACAAGATGGCTGTTAACATCATGGATCGGTTCACCCTGTTTGCTGGGGGCAGTTTGAGGATAGAACGGACAGTGTACTCTGACCAGGGGATGTATACTTGTGAGGCTAGTAACAGCGGAGGAACCGACAGTTTGTCAGTGTACTTGAAGGTTCATGGTACGATACTAGTCTCTTATGTTTCCAATCTTAGCTCCCCTCCTCCCCTCCCACACACACACTTTTTAGGGTGGTCCGATTTTGTTGGCAAAGAAATGCGGTACCGCCGATTAAGCTGCTGTGTTAGAATTTTCTGTTTAAGTTGACGTCATTTACACGCGTTTGGATCGGCTCGGACTTGTAAACAATCGACCGAAGTTTTGGCGCGTTTTGAATCACACACGCGTGTAAATGGCGTCAACGTGTTTGATTGAAGGCAGTCTATTGCAAAGTGCACGTCGCGATTTTTGTCTGGGGTGGCCGCGTAGCAATGCAAACGCCGGTAAGTGGTCTGTTTGGATGTTTTTGCTTTGGGTATTGTAAGGCTTTCTTATCAATGTACCTTCATTAAGCGTAACCGAGAAACAGCTTCATTGAATAATACGCAGTCTAAACTGAGAAACCTTTCTTCCATTCTGAAAAAGTATATCGCGTAATGTTTAGTTGTACTAAAAGATAACATAGCAAGCAAGCGTCGCCAGCATCGTTATTAAACGATATCTTATAATGCTTCCATTACGCAGTTCCAATCCAGTTTAAAGAAAGACCAAAATCACAAGCAGCTCTGGTTGGTGCATCAAGGATCACGATGGAATGTGAAGTAGTAGGTGAACCTAAACCTAACGTCACGTGGTATCAAAACGTTGACATCGAGCCTGTTCAGCGACAGAAAGGACGGATCAGCACCAGAGATCATAACCTTCTGATTGCTACTGTGTATGGTAAAGATAATGGAGTCTATCAGTGTGTAGCTGATAATGGTATACAACTGGAGCAGGCAAGTGCGGAGTTTTATGCTGGAGGTAAGTAGAATATCCTATGTATGTAATGACCGACACACGGTGTAGTGTTAATGCACACAACTTTGCAAGGAGCCCACGAAATAACTAGTTCGACGAAAGACAACTCTTATCTTTATAGCGATCCCTGAAAACTGCCTCATAAAGATGGTCATCTCATAAGGATATTGTCAAAAACACCTACGTACAAAAATGCGTGCCCTAAAACTTTAAACCACAAATCTTATTTTTGTAGCGATTCCTTAAAACTTCAGTTAACATTTGGACGCACATAGACATAGAAGACTATGGTTTCCCAGTGGAAGCTTCCAACAAGTAATTCTTGTCTTCAATGGAAATTTATAAGTAAAGCTCTTGAAAAACTCCATTGACAATATTTTCTATCTTTAAGAATACGTCAGAACTTTACACTTACATGTTGCTAAAAAAAGTTTGAGAACTTTAAGAAAAAAAAGCAATATTTTAGCTTTGTCTAAATCGAATGATTAATAATTTTTTCCTTTTTTCAGTCAATCTTCCAATATTCACTACCTCATCCARAACTGTTATTCTTAACCCTGGAGATAGAATGGATATTTTTTGCGAGATGCCAGCAGTATCTTCCTCCAACGCCATTCATTGGTATCACGATAATACGATATTGCGTGACCCTAACAACGGGTATATCGTGACGGAGTTTACTACAAAATACAGTCGCCGAAGTAAATTGAYAAAGACCTCAGTATCGTTGAAAGACGACGGAGAGTATAAATGCCAGGCTAGTAACATGGCGGGTTCTGCTGAAGAAACYATCAAGGTCCACGTGAAAGGTATTTATATCAGTTGATTACGTCATTTTCTAGTTCTGTCACGTGATCTATATTGGGAAAACATTGCACCACGACGAATATCTTCTATAGTTCACTCTGGCGTCGAGTACTCGAACTGGTTCAAAGATTAAGTCATCCTGTWTGCGTGACTGATGTAGATTATATTACGTTTTTAAGATTTTGTTTTTTCGTTACTGATAATATACTTCTGTCCGTACTGCTGCAATAATTCCTGACAGTTTTTCGTCGAGGCTCTTCTTGCTGTTGTTTGCGTCTTGTTATTGTTACTATAGTTGGTTTAGGCACGGCCGTATGCATGTGACCATATGTGTAGTGCACTCCTTCTGTCGTCACATTTGTTTGCGAACACTCAATACTAACATATATTCATTGATTTCCAGGGGGTCCCAACATAACATATTCTTTAAAAAAAGCCACTGGAGTCCAGGGACAGACTATCTTTCTCCCGTGTCGTGTTAAGGGATATCCTTTACCTACGATCATCTGGACCAAAGACGGTCAACGTCTACTTGACCAGCGYAAGGTAGTGGCAAGTAACGGCACGTTGATTATCAAGAATTTGCAAAGAAATGATAAAGGGGTGTACATGTGTACAGCTGTAAACACCATTGGAAGCAACGACAGCGTCGAGGTAGAGGTGAAAGTACTGGGTAAGAAAATGATAAGCATATGTAATACAATATTTATTATCATCATCATCATATTTATCATCATCAKCAGCAGCAGCAGCACATCATCATCAACAACATAATTATGATCATGATCATGACAAAGACACTAGGATACTCAAGTCCGAATACTTTCCAGAAAATTTTAAAATTTCCATTCCATTTTTTTTTATTTTAAAAATTCGTCATAATTCACAGACGCGGGCAATATCGTGATCCCACTTTCCATTAGAATTTTAATTATTATATACGTCAGTTTCGGGGGGARAGGGCTGGGTAGTAATTGATGGTGTGTTAAGGGAATCACCCCTACCGATTGATAATCCAGGATACGCCCCATAAACATGTTGCTTGAATTCTGTATGGTAAAGTTATGTGCTTCTTATGCAGTTTCCCCTCGCATTACTCCATTCGTGTGGGCCCCAGTAGAGGAAGGTCTACGAGTATACCACCCATGTGTGGTGGCTGACGGTGACTTTCCTGTCAATATCACGTGGTACAAAGATGGCAGTCCTCTTATCTCGGTACGAGGCGACCTCGAGATCAGTTCTTCCGGGTTTACAAGCGCTATTACCATCTCACACGTGTTGGAAAGGCATTCTGGTAATTATTCGTGTGCTGTGAGCAACAACGCTGGTGTAGCTAGACATTCTGCCCTTCTCGTGGTTTATGGTAAGACATCAAATAAATAGCTCGTCTCAAATTATTAACCTATGAATAGTCCCCTTCACAGTTCCCTGCGCCATCTTGAAAGGTAGTCGTGCCTTTGCATCGAAGCGAGACGAACGGTGAGCTTGCAATGATAGAGACATGTGAATAATTGTTCAAGGTGTTAAAAATGGTCTCTCTATCATTGCAAGCTCACCGTTCGTTTCGCTTCGATGCAAAGGCACAGCTACCTTTCAAGATGGCGCAGGGAGCTGTGAGGCCCGGGTACCTTTCAAGTTAAGACGACGCAGGGAAATGCGAAGGGGGCTATTGGCAGGAAGTAAGAAAAGATTAAAAGTGATTGCTTTAAAAAACACTCAATAAAATATTGCTTTTTTTGTCGCTGATTTCATATACTTGCACGGTTAAGTCCCATTTGTCGTTACTCCCCAAGAATGTAAAAAACAACAACATGACAATGCATTTACATGCAAGTTCGAAAAAATAACAAAACTGGRATTTCAACGAAAAATCTTGTGCGAAATTCTTCCTACATGACGTCATTACATGGTCGCTATGACGTCACATGAAAGCCAAGAATTGTGCTCACAAAATGGTATTCCAAAGCGTTTCTCTAGCCCTAGACAAAGGCTGGTAACGATTTTTGATTYATTTGGTATCAGTCTTGACCAATAATCCTTCTCCCCAGTTCCTCTCGCCTGGGTACCATTTGGACTTACCCACGCATTACGCTCGGGTTTGCGTTATCTTTTCATGATAAAGCTACATGGCTGAGTATTATGTTGAAGAAACAGAAAACGACCGCGCATGCTGTGTGCTATAAAACGCGCGGAAATTGGCAGAACACGAGAGAAGTGTAAGGAGAAGCAAGACGCGTAGCTGAAAGTGCGCACGCGTGCTGTGTGCTCTCATAAAGCACTTGCTYCCAACCAATCAGAACGCGAAATTTTTAACAGTTATAATAACGAGATTTAAACTGTGTTTTCTCTAAAGTTGGATCAAAGTTCCTGAGGGATCCCAAGGACCAGCAAGTACTCAAAGAACACACAGCTCATCTGTCTTGCATCACCACAGGCTACCCACCAGCACGTATAGAGTGGAGTAAATCCGTCGGGGGTTCCTTCGTGCAGCTAAATAATGACCCTCGGTTCAGCCAGCTGTTAAACGGGACGTTGGTTATTCGTAACGTTAGCAAGAATGACGAGGGGAAATACTCGTGTCATGCCTACAATGGTGTAGTTGGTACCTCTGTCAGTAGACAGGTCAGCCTCATTGTGCATGGTAAGTTTTCCTTTCTATGCCGACAGTACCATTCACTCAAGCTGATCTGGAATAGTGACAGAAATAACGTCACTGAGGTGTCATGAAGACTGCCAAAATTGATTAGCGAAAAGTAAAAACATGCCCGCCATTGGAATGAAAATATAAATGTATTATTGTGTCATGGTTATCAAACATGTTTTAGCAACGTTTTTTTTTTCTTCATTTGGTGGTATGGAAATCAGTGATTTCAAGAGGAAAAGTGACACCAGTTTTGCAGATTTTCTCGATTCTGTTTTTCTCAATTCACCTCACTGTCGTTTTTAAATAAATATATAAATTTCCTTTTCCTATGAATAGCAGGAAAAGCGCGTTATCAGCGAACATTCAGATATGCTACTGCAGAGACCCTTAAATGTTTTCGCGTAAGAAYAGTCTCCTTGACAGTTTCCTGCGCCATCTTGAAAGGTAGCCGTGCCTTTGAATCGAAGCGAGACGAACGGTGAGCATGCAATTATAGAGACCTTTTTTTAAAACCTTAGACAATTATTCRCATGTCTCTATCATTGCAAGCTCACCGTTCGTCTCGCTTCGATTCAAAGGTACGGCTACGTTCAAGATGGCCCAGGGAACTGTGAAGGGGACTATTTCGGTCAGTAAACTTAAAGCTATGACTTAATGCGCATTGCTTTACGTCCAGCAGTACCAGCCTCTATTGTACGCCCACCAGCAGACCGGTCAGCTGTAGTGGACGGTGACGTCACCTTCACCTGCGTTGCTATTGGCAACTTGCCAATAACTATGACGTGGTACAACGGTACCAAAAAGTTAACGTTCAACGAGAGGGTTCACATTGGAGTGCATACCATGGCTGATGATCACATGGTGAATGGCACGTTAAGAGTCTCTAATCTACAGCTCTGGGACACCAGGCAGTTCTCCTGTAAAGTTGTAAACAAGTTTGGAGAAGATAAAAAGTCTTTCCAAGTAACAGCTCAAAGTATGTAGTAATGATTGATTTAATGCGCTATCGTTAAACAAAGGAATGATACTTTAGGGAATGTCACGTGGTCTGAAATGGGAAAACTTTGCACCAAAGCGAATAAGATCTATTAGTTTTCCGTGTTAAAAAAAAAAGAAAAAAAGAAAAAAAAAAAGTATTATTCCATGTTATCAAATCTACCACGCTTGCTTAAACGACTTGCACTATTAACATGCTATTATAGCTAACCAATCACACATCTTTCTACCACAGAGACACCTTCACCTCCTTCCAAACCAACGATTGGCTCAATCGGTGCCAATTCAATAGTTCTGAATTGGAGCCCTGAATTCGACGGTAACTCGCCGATCACTCGCTACATCATCGAATTCAAACCTGTAGACATAGCATGGGAAGATTCAATCAAAAAAGGCGCACCCGGCGCCACAAGGAGCTACCGCCTACAGAAGCTGAAGCCAGCAACGGAATACCAAGTGAGGTTGTATGCTGAGAATGTTATTGGTACTAGTAACGGTGCAAGTAAAGATATTATAGTCAGGACTAAAGAAGATGGTAAGATATGGCTTCATTTACTATCTCTAACAGTATTGATAGCATTCCAGAGTGGTAAGCATCATTTAACACGAAGATAGATTGCCACTGCAATGGCTATGTCTTGTATTTTTGGTGTATCCAGAAAGTGCGAGAAAAATAGTCTTGCCCCTAGTACTGGAGTCACCTTACCTTCATGCAAACAACGCATACTGATCAGACAAAAACCGATCATTATTACCACAAGAATCTTGTCGAGTTTATTTAGTTACCAGTAAAGAAAAAAATATAATCAAGGGAATGGCTGGTGAACGGGAAGCTCCTAAATCTGGTCAATACTTCAGTTTCGAGTTCTCTGTTGCACAGGGTTGGCCTCCACGTTGTACAGAATATTCATGTGTTTTAGTGAAAGTGTGTGGAATTTCAAAGTGTTTGTATTGTTGTAGTTGTGCATTCTTTACCTTACCGTTGGTATTTGTGAATATTTTGACACTGATACGAGGCTAACCCTGTGTAAATGAGTCTGTTATCAAGGAACACAGCGGTAGTTTGGAATTCTAAAAATGTCTATTTGGAAATGAAATATATATTATTATATTATATTATTATATTATACATTAATGTATTATACATTAATGTATTTTCATTCATTCTTCAGCACCATCACAACCCCCACAGATTGTTAACTTGACAGCTATATCATCAACAGAAGTCTACATTGAATGGCTGGTAAGATAAGTACACAGTTACTATTTATTATACCTCTCCGTCTACATTGAATGGCTGGTAAGATAAGTACAACCGTTACTATTTATTAAACCTCTCCGTCTACATTGAATGGCTGGTAAGATAAGTACAACAGTTACTATTTATCATACCTCTTCGTCTACATTGAATGGCTGGTAAGATAAGTACAACCATTACTATTTATTATACCTCTCCGTCTACATTGAATGGCTGGTAAGATAAGTACAACAGTTAAAATGACAAAATCGCTTTTCTTCAGTACTCATGTTTCATGTTCCAATAGACATCCTCGGCTCTGGAGCGCTCGAGCGTAATGTTGTCCCATTTCAGACCACGTGTCATTCCCTTGAGAATAATATTCTTTGTTTGAGCTGTATCCATATTCATTTTCTTCTCATGTGCAACCGAGCGCATACCTTAATCAAAGAAATGATACTCTAGGGAATGACACGTGGAATGAAATGGGAAAACATTACGTCAGAGCCGAGGARGTCTATCGTAAAGGAAACTACGTTGTTCAGCTTTGAAGGTATTACAATTTACAGTGTGCTATAGCTAAACGGTCTCAGATTTCATATTTTAAATCTCCGACCGACAACGTTTTTAARAAATAGGTGTATATTAAAAACAGCTTTATTCATTATCGCTACGTTCCTCATTTATTAAAATAAACTCCAGAAAACTCCAGCTAAATGAGCAATACTTTCCATCCTCAGCCTCCGCCCAAAAAACACTGTAACGGTATTATCCGTGGTTACTATATCTCCTACGGTGAAATCAACCGACCAAAGAACAAACCTAATATAACAATACCCGGTGGTGCTATAMGAAGTCACGTGATCACCGGCCTGGCTAAATACAAAACTTACACCATTATTATCCAGGCCTTCACGGCTGCTGGACCTAGTCCTCGCACCAAGCAATATATCCAAACACAACAAGATGGTAATGTTGATTACACCTATACTAGCAGAGAAATCGTAGTGTCAGGAACTCTGATAAAACAAATAATAGACATATCGTATGCTCAAATGCGCTGCATAAACAATGAAATTCATTAGGAGTGTCTTGGAAGTGAACTGAAATTATGAGATTCAAAATTCGAGGTAAAAATCAAGAAATGTCGGAGCCATTGAAACTAAGGTGCTCCGCTAGTTAACGTGCCATTTGAGAGGACTACTGATTTTGTCATATAGGGCTATTAGACGTCAAAGACGTTAGACGTTACCTTCTTATGTAAAGTGCCCATTTCAAACCATATGATGTTTATATGGTGTTCTCTTGAGAATTGTTTCTTTCAAATGATTTCACTTCCAAGTAAATATGAACCCGTCATATAATTCAAAAAGATGAAGGAACAATTCTCTAGAGAACATCTTGTAAATATAAGATTAATTGAAATGGGCAATGTTCATTCAAATGTAAATAGGTCTAATTATTTATAATAGTTTATCAACATTCMATGTTATTAATCATAGTTCCCAGTGAACCGCCACAGTTCGTGGAAATCGATGTCCTCAGTTCCCAGAGTGTATCCGTCAAATGGAAGCCTCCGCCATACGATTCACAACACGGCATACTACAAGGGTATAAAGTCCGTTATTACAAGATTAATGACCCGGACAATGTACATGAGGCCACAGTTGGTAGTAAGATCCTAAATATTACTCTACGGAAGCTGGGGAAATTCACGAGTTATCGAGTGAACGTGTTGGCATTTACTAGTAAAGGAGATGGCGTTGCAAGTGCTGATGTTAAAATCATCACAGCTGAAGATAGTAAGTTGAAAGTCAGCTCAAAATTAAAATCTGGATTTATTTCATTGTGGTAACACGGCAACCATACTAGAGCTGTGCTTCTCTCCGTAAGACGGATAAGAACTGACCAACTTATAATATGCAAAATGATTAATGCGACCACGTGACCATTTCCCGCCATTTTAGATGGTCATTGTTTGCTAAATGAATAAATAAATAATAAATAAATAGGATTTAACAGTATGGCACAGATCAGCTCTTCGTCCACTGAATTTCAATTTGAGYTTAGAAGTTGATTTTTGCGGAGAGGGAATCCAGAAAACCCGGAGAAAATACACAGAGTAYGAGTACGGGAATCGAGTCCGGGTCGACAGGCAAGCGCTCTCACTTCTACGCCCACCCGTATTTCCCTTGCTATCTATACTTACTTGCTTTTTATTGATTAGTAAAAGTAAAGCATGGTCGAGTAGTTCATTAAATAAAGCATATTGCAAGACAGCATTGACCAGCAATTAGCTAATGGTTTACTCATACATCAATGTTTTTGTTCAGTCCCAGGCCCTCCAGACAACATTCGCGCCATTCCAGTCTTCCGCGAGGAAATCCGCGTTCGCTGGGATCAACCGAAAGAGCCCAACGGTATCATTCGCGAATACAAGTTGTTTTTTAGCACTGTCATCGATAAACCACCCATAAACGATACGTCTATCAATGTGTACATGCTTAAGACCGAAGGCAACAAAACCTCACAATATCTGAAGAACCTGCGATCGGATACGCTCTACTATTTCTGGGTACGAGCAAGTACRTCCGTTGGGACTGGAAACGCCTCTAAGGTAGTGCATCAACGGACAATGGAAGAAAGTAAGTACCGTATTTCCTCTATTAAGCCTGCCTCTTCTAATTTGCCTCCAGTCTGAGACACAAGTAATAATTAGCAATTAGTCCTCGAACCCGAATGGGCTTTGAGCCAATAGCCTATGAGGCAATAAGGGCGAGAGGAATAATTTAGTCAAATCCATCTAGTCGGTCAAATATATAGATGCAAACAAGTTTTGAATGAAAGTTAAATTTAAAACATTGGTTTTCAAAGCCGGCACTTTTCGCTATTAGTAGGRTATAACTTRGAGCCGAGTAGTAGCTCATCCAATCAGAACACAGCATCGWTGATGTTACCAGAGGGGTTTTTGCGTTTCAAGACTGGAAGACCTATATTTGGGAGGGGAGGGGGGGCTTATGATTAGAGAGGCTTATCATCGGAAATTCACGGTATCCTGATAATGTTTCATCCATTTACTTGCAGTTGTAGCTCGTATCTTTGACCGAACCCATCCTGATACCATGGCCGAATGGAAAAAATCTGCATTATTGAACTGTGAAGCATATGGCGACCCTGAGCCCACTATATTGTGGTACAGCAGAGGTATCAGTACTTCTGATAAGCTTAAATGTTCAAGATAAAATAGTGAATCAAGATTGACAAGATTCATCCTAATAAAGAATTGGTCATTGATTAGCGCGCTGCTAAGCTCGAAGGAAGCGTAAAGTCGCACGAGGCGTAGCCGAAGATCATTTRTTTGTTTACCAATATAACGCTCGAGAATATTTTTGTTGATGCAACTGATGCAAAAACTCTAATTCAAAAGAGAATTGCACTAATCCTTTATAAAATGTTGAAAAGTTAAAAACCTCTGTTACGAGAGAATACCCTTTTGCAGTACAATACGCATTTTGCCATTTCAATAGTATTAAGAGTTTTGAAATGGACCAAATCCACTTGGACGAAATGTTTCCCGCGTTTCAGACCACATGTCGTTCGCTAGGGTATTATTCCTTTGTTTAATAGTTGTGCATGAAAAGACACTTGAATATGGACACAACTAAAAAAAAATTGCATTCTCAAGGGAATAAAACGTGGTCTGAAATGGGAAAACATTACGCACATGTTATGTCCATGTATTTTACTTCCGACAAAAAAAGAAATCATACTAAAGTGAATGAAACTGTAGATGTAATTTTGAATTGGCTCATTAATTCATTCATTCATCCAATCCAGGCAAAGATTTATCAGAAGCAAGCAAGTACAAACAGTTTAAAAATGGCTCGCTTAAGATCATGAGACTAGAAGAGGGTGATACTGGTGACTACATGTGTACTGCCAGCAATCGACTGGGCAAGCAAACGGTCTTGAGAAAACTGAAAGTTCAAAGTAAGATGTGCCTTGATATATATTTCTTACTTACAAAATACTAATACAGCCTTTTAAATTTTTTATCTAATACTAAAGTACAGTAAAAAACCGCAAGTAAGAACCTACATTTTTTAGAGTTAGCCTTAACAGGTTCTTGTTTAAATGGTAGTTAACACAATTTTAGGCTATCTAGGTTCTTAAATAGGTTCTTATTTCTGTGTAAAAACAAATAAAATCCAGCTACAAGATAAAATGGTAATCAGGCTATTTTTCAATCAACCCCACAGCAATGGCAAGCTCCTATTTTTCCAAACAGGATTCTTATACAGCTCTGCATCACTAAATGATGGWTTGTGAAAATAAGAACCTGTTTTTCATTTTCTAGGCTAAATAGGTTCTTGTTTAAAGGGGGTATAAGTGACAAATTTGAGGCTAACAGGTTCTTAATTTTCAGGTTGTTACTCGCGAGWTTTTACTGTATTGGAAACTTTATAGACTGCATAGTTGTCAGGATATCTTTTTATATAACTTCACGCTTTTCAATGAGAAGCACATCTAAAAAGCAATTGAATATGCTGGTAGCTGGAACAATATGCGAAACATCAAGACTTCAAATTATTTGAAGACGTAACCCCGCCACTCTATGCTTTATAAATTTTCTACGTTTGCGCCCTCGTCATCCCATATAAATCAAAATGGCCGCCGTATTAGTTAATGGTCTATTATAATCTCAGCGGGCTGCTCCTGARACTCGTCGACAGGTGTGTCCCGACCATAAAGAATACAAGGCAATATAACAACTTTTTCTATGTTTTTTTTCCTTTCAGTTCCACCTTCTCCTCCAACACACATCACCTTCACAAGTGTTGATAACCTCAAAGCAATCAACATAACATGGAGGCTGGGTTTTGACGGGTACAGTCCAGTCACCATGTTTCTCTTGGAATACATGGCTGAAAAAGGAGTATGGAAGCCTGTGTATCTTCTTCGTAAGATGCGCCATTATGTACTTCATGATATTGACCATACCAAGTCGTACTTCTTTAGAATGTCAGCCATTAACTCAGTAGGCTCTGGGAGGCCTAATAAAATACTCAAAGTTACCTTTGCTGCAAAAGGTGAGGCGAATGATTCTCTGTTGCTGTTCATTCCCAAGAGAATGAAATGACAAAAGACATGGCGGCCATTTTGGGCGATATCGCAAAAGAGAATATTGATGTCTTTTTYGTTAAATTCAACCAAGATGGTGGCTATGACAATCATTTTATTGTGTGTGTGTGGACAGAAACCTATAGCGCGACATGTGAACTGCAGCAAGGTTGATATTTTGGGATTTTTTTTTTCGACAGGAACAATTAGTAGTGTCAGTCAGGTGGATACAGTGGAAGAACAAGCGGAAAACGGAGATGGCAAGAAGCGCTTTTACAACGATCCCACAATCCTTGGGACTCTTRTCACTATAAGTGTGCTTATTATTGTTGTATTACTTCTGCTTGTTGCATGTCGTGTGAAGAGAGTCTCACTAAAGATGCCAAAAGGTGAGAAGGCACTTCACAAAAGAACAGCAAATCAGACAAGTAGGAAGGCAGGCAGGAATAGATATGCATATAATGCAGGAATACAGAATTACGACACACGAAATCGAAAAACAGACCAACCAATGAAATGAGCAAAATGGAAGACAGACAGGCAGGCAGGCAGACAGACAGACAGACAGACAGGCAGACAGACAGACAGACAGACAGACAGACACTTTATTTGGTAGAGGTTTTTTTTGAGAAAATGCTTCATTTTTTAAACTCTGTTTTTTACAGATTTAAAAGACTTGTGGGACAAGGCAATACTAGGACATCCATCCCAACCTAGTGAAGAAACAAGGTAATCAATCAAATATAATCTAGAACTCTTAGCTCCTGCTGGATTTCATACGCGCCATCTTCATTGAGTTTTAGCAAAATATTTGTGATGACTCGTGTAAAATCAACAAACATAGCCGCCATTTCTTTTCGTCATTTCGAATGCTTACAAACCATCTACATTTATTTACTAATATGAATAAACAAAAACTGTAAAACAAATTTACATTTTCAATTGATTTACCTAGCACCAAAAAAAAAACTTTTGATATAATTATTGTCTATCGACAGTACAACTCCAGCAGCGAACGGTCAGGGTGATGACATGAACGGCGATGTAATGGTCACCAATTCCCGCAGTCCTTCTTCCGACGGCCATCTTGCAGATTCCTCCTCCTCGGTAGAACAAATGGCGTCTAACAGAGATTCATTACTCAGCCTTCCGCGGTCTGGGATCATGATGCATCACAATGTAGCACACGAACCAATCATTGAAGAATCATTCCCACCCCCTCCCCCACCATACCACATAAACTCCCCAATGCGTTCCCTAATACCTCCCCCCATGGCACATGATGACAGTTTAAGTGACACATCATCGGAAATTAGCTTTGGGGGTCCTGTGTATCATCGGCCAACACTGCATGATGCAGAGTCCATATCATGTGCTCGCAAGATTCCCGTCTCAGTAGATCCGTGTCAACAACAGCATCCACCAATCAGATCGCTCAATGGAACCCCAGGTGTAGTACTGGGCATGCGTGGGCCAGCGGACGGTGGCTCAGAGCTTGACAATACAAGTTTGGCATCACGTGGCGTTGAATCAAATATAGATCTTCGGAAGRCCTTCGGCAGTCGCCTTGGACGGAACAGTAAAACTCATGGAATGAGCGAGGAAACGGTGCGTTCTATTTATGCTAGAACACCAGCTTCGGGAATTTCTCGTGTCCCCGATTCTGCTTTTGGCTCTCGTTTTGAAATTGGACGAAAAAGTGTTGCTTCTCGGAGGGGATCCAATGCATCACAAAAGGTGGCTCCACTTAACAAGCCTGTCACTTATTATAAGGGTGCGGCAGTCGATACCGTTCCTGCCAGCGTTCGTAGGGACTCGGAATCTTCAAAAGAATCGAATTCCTACCCACCGGAACTGGAGAAAGCCATTGCTGCACGTGATACACGTGCGTATGATTCTACGTCATCCGAGTACAGCTCTTCACGTGATGAACTTTATTCCGCTTTAGAATTCGGCAAACGCAACAATTTTGAAAAATACTATGGTATTCCTACACTTGAAACCACTTCGGTGTCATCCGAAGCAACGAACAGTAGCGAGCAAGACGGTATATGTAAATTCTCGGCTAGTCCCCGTACCATATGTGATGGTTTTTATGCCCCTGTACCTATACGGCAACCGCCGTATAACCCAAGGTCAAGGTCACGTAATAATGAAGCGTACCTCTACGTGTTGGACCCAAGAAGACGAATCATGGATGGCAGCGTGAGGGTGCGAACGCAGCTTGACCACAAGGGATCTTTAGTATAACGCAAGAACAAGCAAGTTAAATATTTCTACAGAATCCTTAAATAATAGATTGAACATTTTTCGATATTCAGAGAATGAGGTTGTTTAGCTTGATATTCTGGATACGCTGTGTTTRTTATGTTGACTCTTTTCCTCGCCAAACTTTGTACCTTTTTTGTATTGCGACCACATTCTTGGCATATGGTCGAGTACAGAGGGTTCAAATGGTCACTTAGCATACCCTTTGTATTGCGACCACATTCTTGGCATATGGTCGAGTACAGGGGGTTCATCTGGTCACTTAGCATACCCTTTGTATTGCTACCACATTCTTGGCATATGGTCGAGTACAGGGGGTTCATCTGACCACAATGCATGTCAATCATAATATGTAGCCCTTGTGTTACGACCAATCTATCGTGTTATGTAATGGTCGAGTATAAAGAGGTTCGTCTAGATATACCATCTTTATCCTGATGCTAACATTTTATCCTAGTGACCGAACGTGTTGGAGGAGGGGAGGGGAGAATAGAAGAGTATAGAGTGGCCGCCATTAAGCACAGTTCCCGTTCATTTAATTGGGGTGAAATCCTATCAGTCTTGGAGTCAATTATAGTATATGTTCTTCCCATTGGTCCAAATATTCTGTTATAGTTTAACGTTCGTTACCTAGTCGACTTTTGTATAAAATCCAAAATAATTTAACGAATCAAACCACAAAAGTGTCATTTGAAAATCCATTTTGTTTTACCAAGAATAGATATTTATATACAGATAAAATATAAATATAAAGGTCTATCTATTTACAGAGACGGCGAGAGAAATATCAGCCCTCATTCTACTATAATAAAGGCATTGCAACAGTTACAAGTTCTTACTTTTGGAGGCACTTAATCCGCGGCGCTATTAAGACGCGAAGGACTTTGCTAGAATAGAACCTGTGATCAGCCAGAATCATAGAGCCTTTTGGAATTCGTAAAATACTGCTGTGTTCCTTAACTTAAGATTCATTTTTTCGCAGAGTTAGCCTCGATTTTGTATAGAATATTCATGTTTCTAGTAAAGGTCCGTGGAATTTCAAAGTGATTGTATTGTTGAAGTTGTGCATTCTTTACTTCACCGTTGGTATTTGTGAATATTTTGACATTAAGATGAGTTGACGTCTATATTCAAGGAACACAGCGGTATTTTACGAACCCGAAAAAAGTCTATTAAGGGTTTCGTATAATTAAAGGGAATGTATGGACAGTACAATAGGATTATTTCATTTTCAAAGATTCCCATAAGTTCAACGGCAAACAAAGAAAAACAAATTAAGGGAAAAACACGTCTGAAGTGAAAGGTGAAACAAAAAACCTGTCTGTTGAATAATGCGTAGTCCTGAGTTGGGGCAGGTGTTCTCCAAAGAACTAAAACRGCGCAAGGGGGTGGGGATCAGTAAAGAAAACCAAGCAACCACATGTAAGGGGAAGTAAAAAATATAAAATAATAGAAGTGCACTGGATCTGATTCATGTATGCTAATCAGTGGCTTCTCGTACATTSGCTTCTCGAATTTGGAAGTTACAATAGGATGGAAATAATATTGGCACTGATACTCTTAACCCAAGTTCCTGACATTTCACTTTGATGACGTCATCAAGTGCATAGAAAAGTGAGTGATAAAGTCATTGGAATACAAGATATCACATGCTCTACGTACAACACTGCGGTCTCACTAACAATGGTATCTATGAAACGTGAATAAAAATCAGGCGTTGTCGAGCGGTGTTTTTTTTTTTTTTCAAAAATAGTTCCAGGTTAACTATTGATTCAATTACAAAACCTTGTTATTTTGAAAGCTTCCTATCTAGCTATTGTAGCTGTATGCCAACAAGTCGTCAGTGCGAATAGAAATTTGGATTAATAACTTGAGTACTCGTACGTTTAATAAAACGTATACTATGAGAAGGTAAGATATTATTTAGCAACTGAAGCCGAATGTAATATATAATAGTTCTTAAGAAAACATAAAACCTAAAAATTACAGGAAACTTAGAACAATTATCATTGAAATGCGACTCGCGAAGCTTGATGTCTCGATCGCCGACTAGCATTTCAACTACCTTCAATCAAAGAACTGCAATAAATGTTGAGGAAGACTTTGTACTGAATTAAAGACTTTAGAGGATTACTCGCACCTCAACGATGATGGTGGTAAAGACCGTGAAAAAACGTTCGTAACGCATACCAACGTTAAAAACGGTCGATAGTCCTTCATCACTCTTGTTGTATCCTAAATGTCTAGTCATTATCACCGGCTTTTCTGAGTAGTTAGACTAATTTATCGTGGTTTTTTTATTCGTTTACTCAGGAGGAAGATTTCTACTCAAAAACCTCATTATAGTTACAGGCCCCTCTTTAGGACCAAACTTAATTCCAAACCTAACTCGACCCCATCAAACGACTCATGAAAATTTTCAGATTCAAATTGAGAGCCTCCCATTTATGGAATCGGCGAACTAAAAAGAAGATCCCCAAAAAGGGTTCGAAACAATAGGCTTTCAATACTAATCCAGATGGGCTTTTATTTAATTAGAGAACTTTCTTATGGAAACAGAGTTCATTGAATTCAAGTGTGCTTCATTTTAGACGTTTTAAACAAAACACTATGCACGTTTCCTTAGTTTTTCTTTTGCTTTGCAGGAGATGGAGTTCCTTTAAGCTCACAATAAATAAAACATGAAATCATGATGTCCTCATGTTATTCAATGTTTATTTTTTATCCCATGTAGCAAGCTACATGAACAGAATATTCTACACGACCGAATGCTTTYGAATATTTGATTTCAGGATGAAGCAGTCGAAGGTGAGCGTTATCCTGGTAAGCTTGTTTATCCTCATCTTATTCTATGACAAAAGTGCGGATGCCACTGAGGACATGAGGTACTATGAATCGATTTCCGACCACCGCTTATTGAGTCATGCGATGAAAGAAGTAAAGACCGCTGACCTCAATACGTGCACTAACGAATGCAGTCAGACCCCAGGATGTAAAAGTTCAAACTATAAAATCACTGATAGAGTTTGTGAGATGAATACAGCTGAACACGTGACAAAGCCTTTGTACTTGATGAAAGAAGAAGGATATATCTACTTCAGAAATCCTAACCCAAAGGTAAGGCTAATACATTGTTATAAATCCAGCTTTTCATATTTGCTATATGTTATAAAATATTATCCAATATATTATATGCATTTGTAGGCTAAAGCTCGTAACATTGAAGAAATAGAAAACAGCAAGCCTTACTACAAGAACTGTGCCAAGGTGAAGGAGGATCAGCCTACCGCAGCAAGTGGTTTATACGAGATTTTGGTCAATGGATCAATAAAACAGATTTATTGCGACATGGAAAATTTTGGTGAGATGCACCAACGCACCAACGCACCAACGCACCAACGCACCAAC